TATTAGTAATAATTACTAAATTATTAGTATCAAATCTAAATCATTAAATATTTATAATAAATAATTATTAGTAATCATGACTAAATCATATTATTATTAAATCATTAAATATCAAATCATTAGATTAATAATAATTATTAAATCATTATTAATAATATTAGTAATTAATCAATTAATCAAGTTAAATAACAAATTTTATTTGATCATTAATATAATAGTATATTATATTATATTTAATGATTTAATGTTTTATGAAATTATCTTATCTAATATTTTAATCTAAATTAATTTATTTTTTTATTTGTAGAGAAAATGAGCAACAACTTTTTCACGATTGTCCATTATAATGGACAGATTATGGAAAATGAGGTCGGAGTAGTTTTTCAGTCTGAAAAACCAATAAATATGATGTTCAAAAAAGACATCACATTTATAGAAAGAAATGAAACATAATAGTATGTATGCTAGTGTAAACGCATACACTTATGTTGATGAATGCTTCCACCTACGTAGGATATTAAATGTTTACAGCTATGCGTTCAGACAGATCCCGAATGAATCATATTGGCCCAAAAAAGATCATGATGAATGGCTACCAAATCCAATCCTTCGTAGAAGTCCGAAGGGTCGACCTGAGTCAACTCGAATTCATACCAGTATGGATTTCCATGTAGAGAGAGAGGTCAAGCAAAGAGATGCGGATTATGTAGGGGTGAAGGCCATTCAAAAAACAATTGTCCTAATTTACCAAGATATATGCCTCATCATTAGTAATGATATATGTATTTCTATGAATTTCTATGTATTTATAAGATTTAGTAATAATTAGTAATGATGAAATTATTATTAATATTTAATGATTTGATAGTAATGATTTAGTAATAATTAGTAATAATGAAATTATTATTAATATTTAATGATTTGAAATTAATGATTTAGTAATGATTAGTAATAATGAAATTATTATTAATTTTTAATGATTTGATAGTAATGATTAGTAATAATGAAATTATTATTAATTTTTAATGATTTGATAGTAATGATTTAGTAATGATTAGTAATAATGAAATTATTATTAATATTTAATGATTTGATAGTAATGATTTAATAATGATTAGTAATAATGAAATTGTTATTAATATTTAATGATTTAATAGTAATGATTTAGTAATGATTAGTAATAATGAAATTATTATTAATATTTAATGATTTGATAGTAATGATTTAGTAATGATTAGTAATAATGAAATTATTATTAATATTTAATGATTTGATATTAATGATTTAGTAATGATTTGATAGTAATGATTTATTATAAATATGTCGAATTTGTTAAGGTTTGAAAAAACTAGTCTAATTTCAATATTAAATTTATAACAAATAACAAACTAGTTTACAATTGTTGCCGATGTCGGGGTGTTGTTGAATGATAATGTTGGGGCGGACGTCTGATGCGTTGTGGCCATTGCGGTTGCTCAGGAGTATGGTACCCATCCTCCTCAATCGTTGGGGCATTTGAACTGACATGTGTCAAAGTCATACGTAGACGAAAACATGGGAGAGTAGATGGATGCATCAGGCTGCACAAACTCTGGTATGTATGCATCGCCGAACGGTTGTGGTGCGCTATTATCCACATCGGTCATTTTCGCTTCAGGTTGTTGAGATGAACTCCCACTCCCACTTGGTAGAGAGTATTCAGCTTTACCAAATCTTTTCTTAAACCTCAAAAATTGTCGCATCTCTACAATTGTTGTCAATAATGGCTTTCCATTATCCAAAAAATAAGCAAGGTAAGCCGAAGTCTCAAAATTAAAGTCGTCGTCTTGAATGTCGTCAAGAGTTGGCATGAATGAAGCCCTATTGTTCCAAGCATTAATGTAGGTTGCTTGTTTCTCAACCCAATTAACATTTTCTTTACGACGACCATCAAATCTGTGCAGCTGGTCATGCGTCTCAACCCAATTCACCTGACGACGACCATCTAAGATTTGGAGGAGGTCATGATCCCATGGACTCCGCGGAATAGGTTGGTGGAAGTGGAATTGCCTCAACACTCTATCCCCAAATTGGATCTCAACAAACGCAAAATTGATCAATGGTGTAACAGCACACCAATATTGAAACCCATTTAAAATATCGTGCGGTATCAACGCAAGTATTTCTTCATTCATGTATGGTCTCCAATTAAACTGTAAAATTACAAAAACAATAAAATTTATTTAAATCAAATAATATAGTTAATTTAAATAATAATTAAAAATAACAGATTATACATACCTCATTTTTTGCCTTAATGTCGATCTTCAGCCTAAACTCTTTAATGTTGTTGTGCACCAACCCCGTGCCTTCAATTTTATGCCTCCATCTGTATATCAATCAAAACAAAAATATGATCATTTTTATTTTATAATTAATATTTTATATTAAAATAGAGAATTTATATTACCTTCCGGCAAGCGGAAAGTCAACCGCAGTCCGACTAATCGGTGTCAGAAATGGAAGTCTATGCCAAGCCCATGACTGTAGCAGCAACAGACATCCACCGATTTATGCTATATTATTATCATTCACGACTAATGACGCCTTGCACATCTCACGATACAAGAACGTCAATATCGTCGATCCCCAGCTATATTGCCTACTATTCTCAAAATTTCTTAAAAAAAGAAGATATTGAGTGTGAACATAACTACCGGATTTATCCGGCATTAAAATACCCCCAATCAACTGTAATATATATGCTCGTGTTGCATATATAATTTCGTGCTCCGTACTATTTGGTTGAAGCTGAAATTCATTCTTCAACCATGACAACCTCACACGCCACCCTTTACACTCTGGTGGTACGGGCGTTTTCCCAAGAAACAAGCTACAAAGTTGTGCCACATTATTAAACTCATGTGACATTACCACTGGCATCCCATTTGTTTGGACCCCGAGTTGCAATGCCACATCCTCCAGAGTTATCGTACATTCGCCACACGGCAAATGAAACGTGTGCGTTTCTGGTCTCCAACGCTCAATCAAGACACTGATCAAACCTGGGACCAACTTGTAATCTCGCACAAATGTTACATACCAAAATCCAGCCTCCTGCAAGTTTTCTTCTATCAATCTGTGTGGCTTGGGCACTTTATGTAGCCGAAGACGAAGGACTCGCTGCTCGTCCTCCTACAATTAAATAATGCAAAACATTTATCACAATCACCATAAAATAATATTCAAATATTTATTAATTATAATTCATTAAACAAATATTTTTTTCACCATTATTCTCAAATGACTTGAAATATGTTCATTGTCAAGTCTCAGCAGTGGAATTTGGTCAGCCATTGGAATGAATCTGTAAAAAAATTAAACAACATCATTTAAAAAATCATTTAATATAATCTAGTGTTAAGTAAGTAACTAACTAACTAATTTACAACCCAACAAAAAAATTTAATATAATAACTTATAATATAATAAACTTATAAAGTAACAAACTAAACTTTTTAAAATATAACTTAAACGTGAATTTTCTTTAAACAACTAATAAACTATTCTTTAATATATCTTCAACTAATAAACTATTCTTTAATATAACTTAAACTAATAAAATATTTTTTAATTATAATTCACTACTAAAAAACTAATTAACTAAATTTTTTATATAAAATAAATTCAACAAATCATATGGCAACTTAACTATTTAAGTAACACAAACTAATTACATATTTTTATATATAACTATCTACTAACTAACAAACTAACTAATTAAGTAAATTTTTTACCCTAACCCTAAACTAACCATAACCCTAAACTAACAAACTAATAATTTAAAATAATAAACTAATTTAAATTAAATAAATAAAAATTTACCTCGATGTTTGCTTGCCGGACTCCCTTTCTTCTTCCTCCTCTTCTTCATTTCCTTTCTCTCGACATTCTTCTCCCTTTCTTTCTTATGCTTCCTTAACCCCATATCATACCCCCTATATATTAAAGGGTCGGCTGCCAGGCACCAATAATTGAAGAATCACGCCATGCACCAATAATTGAAGAATCACGAGCCGTTGATTCTCGTGGATTGCAACAATAATTGCTGCATGAAGCAGCGAAAAGTATGCTGCAATAATGCAGCGAGCAGCGAGAGCAGGCGAGCAATAATGCAGCGAGCAGCCGACCATGCAGCGTGGAGTAGGGGCCAAAGACAAGGTCGCGAGCAGGCGAGCATGCAGCAGGGGATGTCGCCGGGCGTGCATGGCAACCTAGGAGGTCGCCGGGCGTGCATGGCGACCTAGGAGGTCGCTGGGAGTGCATGGCGACCTATGGTTGGGTTGTGCATGTCCCATGCACACGATCATTCCCATGCACACGACCCTCGTCGGAAGCCACGTCGTAGGTCGCCCGGAAGGCATGGCGACCTACGGCCACACTGTTGATTTCGCCCTATTTCAGCAAATAATCTTGCGAGAACGTTATTTCGTGAATTATTTATTTTTCGTGCATTATATCGTGAGTTTAGCCTTAATTTCTCAACTTGTATTTCTTAAATAATTTTGTAAGCAATTTGTATTTTTTTCTCAAAAGATTTTTTTGGAATTCTTTTCTATGTATTTGCGTTTGCAGACATAGATTAACATCATGTTTGTATTAAAGGTGAACTTGTCAAATAAAGATTTTTTGTATTTTCTTAAATAAAGATTTTTTTGGAATTATTGATATGATTTTTTTTTAAATTCCAAATCATTAGGTCGAATTGAATTTTTAAATGAAAATTAAGAAGAAAAAAATAACAATTTTGAGTTTCAAATTATGTCAAAATTGTTATCTCAAAGCCAAAAAATTATTAGAGCTGGACTATATTTGTTGTGGTCATTAAAGGGAAAATTTATCTAAATTAATATAAGGACTAAAACATAAATTTACCTTTAAAATGAGCTTCACTTAGGTGCCTGCTGCCGTCCAGCTCCTATATATACCGCATGCATCAAGACATATCTTGCCAGAAAACAAAAGAACTTGTAAAAGCTAGTTGTAAGTCAGTGAAACAACCATGGCTAACCCCTTGTTTTCCTTCAGCTTGCTAATATTAAGTCTTGCAACCATGCAAGGAACCCATGCAGTCTACTACGCCATCAACGACAAAACTGGAAACAGCGGCGGCGGTGTTCGTTTCAGGAACCAGATCGGGGCGGCTAACAGCCTTCAAACCATGTCCGCCGCCACAAACTTCATCTGGAACATCTTCAAACAAAACAACCCATCGGACAGAAAAAACGTGGCGAAAGTAACATTGTTCATCGAAAACAGCAACGGAGTAGCCTTTGCCGTCAACAACGAGATCCACGTCAACGCGAATTATCTGGGAAACTACACAGGCGACTTGAGGAGGGAATTCAACGGGGTGCTTTACCATGAAATGACGCATATTTGGCAGTGGAATGGGAACGGGCAGACTCCCGGTGGGTTGATTGAAGGGATAGCTGATTTTGTTAGGCTAAAGGCCAATTATATTCCGAGTCACTGGGTGAAGCCAGGGCAGGGGAACAGATGGGACCAAGGGTACGATGTTACGGCTAGATTTCTGGAGTATTGTGATGGTCTACGAAATGGGTTCGTTGCAGAGCTTAATAAGAAGATGAGGACTGGTTATAATGTAGGGTATTTTGTTGACCTGCTGGGGAAGACCGTTGATCAGCTTTGGAGGGATTATAAGGCCAAGTATGGCAATTAAATGAATCAAGTATGTGTGGTGTTCTGGAACAAATGTTATGAAAAAAACCTATACAAAAAATATCTTGAATAAAATAATCACTTGATTTTAATTTTTTTATTAAGTACAAAATTATTATATTTTAAGCATAAATACTTAGATTTCAATTCACATAATATAAGATAATATAAATGTCGCAACCGTCTTTCGGGTGGGCCCGGAATTGGGCTTCGACTTAAATGAAATACGTTAGAGTCGCCACCGATCATTTAAAAAATATTTAGGTTGATCGGACACCATCTTACATGATCTGCGTTTTACCATAAATATGTCGTATTCGGGAGTCGGTCACAATCAATGAATGATTAGCACCCTTGAACTGCCCTTTCGGTACCATTTTAATTTATTGGTTGTCTTAATTTCGAAAATTAAATTTAAATTTAAAGACTTGATAAAAATTACTCGTTAAAAAATCCTTTTACTCGATAAGAGATCTTGAAAACATTAACTTAAAGGATTAAAATAGCAAAAAAGGAAACTTAAGTGACAAAATCAAAAATAAATAAATAAAACAAGAGATATGACATCAGTGATTAAATTAAAAATAATTAATCCTAAGTGCCAAAAACGAAATAAATAAAAATGCATAGATTCATGTATTGGAATGAAAAACACGCCTAAAAGTACAAGGACTAAACATAAATTAAATCAAAAATACATAAAATGCATCAGAAATTGGTAAACTACGAAAACAATCTCTGCAAGTGATTATTTTAAAACACGCCAAACTTAGGGGATTTAAATTGCAATTTTTCCCTAAAGTTTTCTATAATTATCGTAATTTTTATTTTCATTTTATTTGATTTTAAAATATTTTTAGAGAGAGAGAGGGTTTCTCATCTCTCTAAAAAATCGATCAATCGTTGGTGGGTTACCTCACCTGGCCACCGGGTTCGTCACCGGCTTCGGTGGATGATGGTCACCAAATTTCATAGGGAGATTCGTCTTGACCTCCCCATCTTGGATCTGGGGTCGATTTTGCATGAATCGGCTCCGTTCGTCATAAAAAGGCCAAAAACCATTTGGCTTTCTTTTCTCCGGCCCACCGCTGTCCGTCGCCCGATCGTCCTGATTTTAGTATGTTGTTCATGTTGGCCTTAAGTAACTTTTCACCGCTTGGATTGTCGATCGAAGATCTCTATCACCGGCAAAAATTTGTTAGAATGTAAAAACCCTTTTTCTCTTGTATTTTTTTATTTCGAACATATATGATAAAAAAGAAGGAAAAAATAATAATATGCTACTAGAACGAATGAAATAAAAAAACAATATGTTGTTGTATCAATTTTCATCGGAAGAATTTTCGGGGGAAAATCCCTTTTCACATTGTTTGGTTCGAATAAACCTCAAAACCGATAGCCTCCTTTTTTTTACTCAGACCGTCCCTTTACATTTTTTCATTCGAAGTCCCCCTGGTTTCTCTCTGTATTTTTATTTTTTCCCCTCTCCATTGAATAGCTCCCTCATTTATGGTTGAATGTGGTTTTTGTTTTTTATGATTGGTAATGGGTAGGATAATTAGGTTATGATAGTGGGTAGTAATGAATAGTGGGCAGTGGTAGATAGTGGGTATGGTAGGTAATTAATAATAATAATAATAATAAAACAATAATATTTTTTAAACCCGGACAAAAATGGGTGTCTACATCTGTCCCTCTTTGCACATTCTTGTGTTAACAAGAATAGGGCAAAGACGAAAAAAGACAACCAATTTTTTATCCGATTCTATTTTTGGTTTTGGAAACTTGATAGCATTTGATTTGGGGGATGACACTGCTCATAGGTGATGAAGAGGTCTGGTCGTCTAAGGGTGACACGGTTGCTATGACACTTAAGTCAATCAATTGCGCACGATATCCTTCTTCATAAAGTTGAAATCGTGGGTCACTAATTCGTTGTGAAGTTGAGTTGAACTGTAAAATCTTGAGCACAATACCCTTCGTCGTGAAGTTGAAATTGTGGACCTCTTGAGTACGATAACCCTCGTTGTGACGTTGAAACCGAACTCAAAATATTGGGAAGTAGCTCCTAGATTGTATTCTATCCCAATATACTTTGTTGTGAAGCTGAAATTTGACCTGAATGAAACAGGTTTTTCATTGTTGTGTCACAGATGACTCATTCGTCGTGAAGTGGGGTCAACTTTTGGGTGCAATATCGAAGTCATAGGTGAATCGAAAACTGGCTCTTTGTTGTCAATCTTGGTCGACCTTTATCTTCTTCTCGATTTAAAGTCCTAGGTGTGAAAATTTGACTGGAAAGTAGTTCTTTGCTGCTACCTTACGGTAAATACGTCCTCGAGTTTAATGGAATCAGACTCGAAGGTTCTTGTTGATAGATAACCTTCTCGCCTTGAGTTCTGTTGTATTAAACTGATAGATTGCCCCAGATCTTCTTCTTGACTTAAAGACCTTAGTTTAAACTTCAACCGGAAAGTAGTTCCTCGATGCTACCATGCGGTTGATATGTCATCGAGCTGAATGGAATCAAACTCGATAGTTTTGTTGACAGATAGATTTTCTCGACTTAAGTTATGCTGTAAATTTGATATGCCCTTAAGATGAATGTAATCGAACTCGAAGGTTTTGGTTGACAAATAGCCCTTCTCGCCTTGAGCTATGTTGTAAATTTGATATGTCCTTGAGCTGAATGTAATTGAACTCGAAGGTTTGTTGACAGATAGCCCTTCTCGCCTTTAGCTATGATGTAAATTTGATATGTATTTGAACTCGAAGGTTTATTGACAGACAGACATTCTCGCCTTGAGCTATGCTGTAAATTCGGTTGCCCTTGAGCTGAATGGAATTGAACTCGAAGGTTTTTGCTGCCATATAGCTCTTCTCGCCTTGAGCTATACTGTAATAGGTTGGGAGATAACCCCCTATTGATGCAGATGACTAATTTACTGCGAAACTAAGTTAATCCACTTGGGCACGTATCTTTCATCGTGAAGTTGAAATCGTTGATGGCTCATTCGCTGTGAAGTTGAGCTTTGAATTGGATGTCCTTCGTTGTGAAGTTGTACTAAACTGAGAGATTGCCCCAGATCTTCTTCTTGACTTAAAGACCTTAGTTTAAACTTCAACCGGAAAGTAGTTCCTCGCTGCTACCATGCGGTTGATATGTCATCGAGCTGAATGGAATCAAACTCGATAGTTTTTGTTGACAGATAGATTTTCTCGACTTAAGCTATGCTGTAAATTTGATATGACCTTAAGATGAATGTAATCGAACTCGAAGGTTTTGGTTGACAAATAGCCCTTCTCGCCTTGAGCTATGCTGTAAATTTGATATATCATTGAGCTGAATGTAATTGAACTCGAAGGTTTGTTGACAGATAGCCCTTCTCGCCTTGAGCTATGATGTAAATTTGATATGTCCTTGAACTCGAAGGTTTATTGACAGACAAACATTCTCGCCTTGAGCTATGCTGTAAATTCGGTTGCCCTTGAGCTGAATGGAATCGAACTCGAAGGTTTTTGCTGCCAGATAGCTCTTCTCGCCTTGAGCTATATTGTAATAGGTTGGGAGATAACCCCTTATTGATGCAGATGACTAATTTACTGCGAAACTAAGTTAATCCACTTGGGCACGATATCTTTCATCGTGAAGTTGAAATCGTTGATGGCTCCTTCACTGTGAAGTTGAGCTTTGAATTATATGTCCTTCGTTGTGAAGTTGAAATCCAAAATTTCATTGCGTTCGAGTTCAATATATTTCGTTGTGAAGTTGAAATTGACTCTGAATGAAACTGGAGAGTTGTTTGTTGACATACATCTTTTCTCGGCTTAAGTTGTGGTGTAAATTTCTTCTAAATGAAGGATTGCCTCCCTTCGCGGGTCTAAACCGATCATAATTCTTTGGATGACTACCCTTCACGGGAAAGCTAAGTGGCATATTCTATCAGTCGAATATCATCCGTCGTGGAGTTGAAATCTGGTTTGATAACGTTAACTAAAAACTAGCAGCTCGTCGTTGAGTTAAGCTGAACTGGATCCGTTCTGAACTAGGCTCTCGAACCTGTCTAAAATTGATTATAAGATCTTTCAATATGTCAAGTTGGTTGAGGTGTAGTTCTTTGCCACTGAGTTAGGCAACCACTATTGATTTTTTTGAAGGTGCTTTTGAGTCGAGTATCTTTCGTCTTGAAGTTGAAATTTGACTCTAAAAGCTGCAAAAATTATGTATGTGAAAAAAATCATAAATATGATTCTCTTAAGTATGTCTAAGATGTATGCAACATGAATTAGTTCTTGTTTTGTTTCCTGGATTGAGCCTCATTTCTGTCTGATTGTTCCTACATGTGGAGGAAAGGCCTTCAGAAGATCTGATCATTCACATTAGGATGTAAAATCCCCAAATATTCCCCAATATTTGATGTTGAATCTCCAAAGATGCCCCAACATTTGATGTTGAATCTTCAAAGATGCCACTATTGTTCCTTATTTCTTGCTTTAGTTGTAATACCCGACCCGTACCCGACCCGGATATGAATCCGATGTGTCACATTGACTTTTCAAAATGTTTACTTTGACAAAATCTCATAAAATTTAAAATTTTTATTAAAAGAACAGTACAATAATTTATATAAATACTATCAAAATGATTACAAAAATCGATTAGAGCATTTGTGATTTAAACCGTAATTACATGCCAACATAATTCTTATAACAAAATAACATACTGTTTAAAGCACTTCTGATGTGATCGCTTCAAAGGGGATGCTGCTTTCCTAGACTTTAACTCTGGTCTTCTTGCTTCTTAGTACCTACGTGTAAACTACTTACACGTTAAGTCATTGACTTAGTAAGGCATAATAAAACGTATAATAATGAATTCATGACACATGCACTATTATCATTCCATCGTGACATTACAATTTGTATGTAACTAATAAACTATAACACATATGATCATGACATGCACAAGTGAAATCTAACTTCTTATGAAAGTTTCAATTCATTTTATC